GGGATCTCGCTTCAAACACAAACAGAAGTGACGTTACCCACAATCGCTGATACAACCTTTAAGTACTTTTAAAAACGAGTACTCCTGTACTTCAACTGAAGTAAAAATCGGTCTTTACAACTTTTACTGGTAACGGAGTAATATTTGACCAGCAAGGAAATTGTGTACTTTGTCCACCTCTGAATGAAAGCCTGAAAGGTGGTTTGTGGTGTTATTGATCGTAAATGTACGTAAATCATTATCCAATTGATTGCTTATGATGTATGCAGTTAAAAAGAGCTTTTAGCTTAATCAAAGAGCCAGTTACTATGTGTAATACGTAGTGTCAATTATTTTTAACTCCCCCTTTGAGATTTATCAGAGTGGAGGGTGACTATACTTGACCTGTCCCCCTAGGACTCCACTCCATTGAACGGTCAGTCACATCTCGAGTAAACACACAGGGTGCAAATTGTCTAAACGACTCTGAGCTTATTAGCATTCGGTCTCTGCGCCTGTGGTTCAATACCATCGATGTGGCACTACAATCACTCTTATACAGTGGAGACAACACTATTGTTATCTGATCTCATGCTAAGATTGACCTATAATTGCCTTGCATTAAATGACATTTAAATAAATTGAAGGCATTCAGCAGATAAGGAAAAATGCCTTTGATCAAACTCAATGATTTTATCATCTTCAGGACGCCATTATGCAAATGATTCTGTGTGAGGTGTCAATGCACACTCTCTAAACATCTATATGAATCTATGAACTGGTATATATATACTGCTGGCAATGATGTCACTGATCTCAATAACTTAAACAACCCTCAATAACCTAAATGGTGGTATAAACTTAAATGTCAAAACTGCAAATCTTGAGCACTTAAGCACTTAACTCTGAGTTGCTGCTAAGGGACTACTGGCACAATTGGATTCCCTGGGTTAGTTCCATAGCTGCCAGATTAAAACCATGTCTTAAGAACTAGTCTGACAAACTAGCAATTAGTTACGACTAATCAGTATTTTCATGTAAATGATTTAAAATAGCTACGAACAGTCTTGAAGGAGAAAAAACTTGTAAGATAGTCTAAGCAGTGTATGCAACCAGCCCCTGGTTAATTGACAAAACTTAGTGTTAAGATGCAGAGCAAAGGAAATATCTGTACATGCATCTATATCGGCAATGAGAACAATATATTAAGACAGAGTCAGATGTGGGAGTGACCTAAACTATAGTACCATTCAAAAGTTTGGGGTCAGTAAGATATTTTGGCAAAGATTTAGTTTAGGGTCCAGTTCTCAGTATAAACTAGTTGCTTATTAGCATGCATATTACTAGGATATTTATTAGTAAAGTACATATTACTGCCTTATTCTACATCCTTAATCCTACCCAATTCCTAAACTTAACAACTACCTTACCAGCTATTGATAAGCATTAATTAGGAGTTTGTTCATTTTTTTCCATTTTCATACATTTTTCAAATGTAATTTTGCTCGTAATGGCAAAGCAGAATTTTCAGCATCTTTAATTCTGTCTTCAGTGTCACATGCTCCTTTAGAAATTATTCTAATATGCTGATTTGCCGCACAAAAAAAAAAACATTTCTTATTATTATCAATGTTGAAAACTCTTTAACATTTTTGTATAAACTGTAACAGATTTCTTTTCAGGATTCTTTGATGAATAAAGTATATGACAGGCAAATTAAAAGGAGACTGCAAGGTTATAAGCCCTGTGAGGTACCCATTCTAAAGGTTCGTTTTCCTCTCTGCCCTTTTGAGATAGTAACTCATTAATTGGAAATGATTTCCGCTCAGGCTTAAGGAGAGACCTCCCTTTGTTCCTGCATCTATCAACACAAGCCCAGGCTCAAAGTTATCAGCTCTCACAAGCATGTATCTGTCAGAGAAGCAAAGTCTTTTCACCTCTGAGGTTTGATCACACCACTGATGTCTAGCGATAAGTCTTCTGCAGAATCTACAGAAGACATTCAGACCAAAAGGAGATTCAGCAGAGTTTGCGCACGGCAAAATATCCTTTATGAAAGTGCTTATGTTAACCCAATGACACAGGCTGAGCGATTTGAGTTGCTGTTGAATGAAGGGAAACGCAAAGTTCTCAAACGCTTCCAGTTCTCAAAACATCAATGGCCCATTTTAGACAGGGCTAATTTACATAAACATGAATGTTTTAATTTCCAAACTCTCCCAGAACATCACAGTATATTAAAAGTGCTGAAACATCCATTTCATACATTGTACTCCATTTAGACGCAGAGATTTTTCATTCATTGTTGCTTGTGAAAAGTAATTCAGTTGCAAATCAAAGCATTTTGTTGTGTCAGTGCATTTGATGCAAGCAGCTGGTGGCCTCAGTTAGCTCACACACTCGGCAAAGGGGCGGGAGGAAGGAAAGGAATTGTGGGAGTTTTGAGAGCTCTTGTTTTGTGTTTACTTCAGAAAATTGGGCCACTGAGTAATCAAATAAAAACTACTTCTCAATTGAAATGCTATTTTCTTCCCATCTTCATGCAAAATTAGGACACATTTTGCTCTGTGCCTGACGTAATATGGTGTTCAATTTGCATTTAAGAAGTTTCACACTAAACACTGAGAAAAACTGTCAATCATTGCTGAATGCCAGGGCGTCGATCATCGGACAACACAGAACATTACCCGTCAAGCAGTCGACAATGAATTAATCTTCTTCCCTCTGGTAAATTGGAACTGATAGAGGAACACAGACAGGAAATTGCCGCGAGCCGAAATATTCAAACTGTTTTTAATTTAAACCACAGGTCGAGTGTCACGGGCTGGTTGAAGCAGGAATCAGGATCAAAAAGCAGCAGTTTTATCAAACAAACTAAAATGATGTTATACTGGAAACATCAACGGAACAACCAAGCATGTAGCAACAACGACAGACAAGGAACAGACTAAAACACAGGACTTAAAACACAGGGAACAGATCAGGGAAACAGGACACAGTTGGGCCAAATGAACTGATAATGGCAGGTAAACAGGTGAATTAAAGGGATAGTTCACTTTGAAATGAATTTTTGGTATGTTTTAGCTTACCTCAAGGGCATCCAAGATGTAGGTGTCCTTTTTTTCGAAGTAGTTTCAATTTTGATATTTTTAGGTCAAACCGTTCTTGTCTGTCAGTCATATAATGCAGGTCTATGGTCACCACCTCAAAGAGCATGCACAGAGAAGTCCAAATTAAAGATGATTTAATGACTCGTAAACGTAAGTACACATTGATGGCCTAAGACACGAAATGAGCGGTTTGTGTGAGAAAAAAAAAAAAAGAGCGGTTTGTGTGAGATTTATATCGTTTTTACCTCTTGTAAAAGGGCGCGGGCGCTTTGTTCTGCGCAAGCGGTGGAAGTCATCTCTCACACGTGTACGTTATTCATTGTTTACACAGAGATTTCGAAAGTGTTGCCTTTCAATGTGAATATCTAAACATATTTAAATATACAGGAAATCTCAATCGAAGACGATTTCGATATACTGTATCAACAGACAACATTGATTTTTTTTTTCACCCGTGCCCTCAGATCACTTGGATGGTGGCTGTGGTTACAAAAGGTAAAAACGATATAAATACTGTTCAGTTTCTCACACAAACCGCTCGTTTCGTGTCTTAGGCCATCAATGTGTACTTACATTTACGAGTCATTAAATCATGTTTAATTTGGACTTCTCTGTGCATGCTCTTTGAGGTGGTGACCATAGACCCGCATTATATGATTGACAGACAAGAACGGTTTGACCTAAAAATATCAAAATTGAAACTACTGCGGAAACAAAAACACCTACATCTTGGATGCCCTTGAGGTAAGCTAAAACATATCAAAAATTAATTTCAAAATGAACTATCCCTTTAACAAAACAGTAACGAAGAGTGTGAAAATGGAAACAGGATTGAACCTAATACACAAGGAAGGGGGAAACACAGGGCACACATGTAACATCGAGAGGCCTGCTGAGTGGTTTTGTCAACTAATGGTGCAAAAAGGTCATTGTGAAAACTCATAACAATTTATGAATATTACGCTAATTGAAGTTGAAGTTTGTCTAGGTAACTGTTTCTCTAGTCTACTGAGATTGCATTCATCATTTGCTGCATTTTCTCTGCAAAGTAATGTAAAGGAGTTTTCCACACAAAACCATGGGCAACATTTTGTTTTTCATGCAATTGTAGAACACATTTCAGTACAATATGATGTATTACTTCATGATAAAATATGAAAGCAGATGCCTTGATCTACACTTTTGTTGCTTGTAGATGGGGGAAATTCATGAATTCTGAATTGTTTATTTGCACATGCTGTTTGCATTAAACAACTGATTCACTAAAGGAACGTTCTAAATCATGTAACAGTGCAAAAACACTCTCAAAATGAATGCTGAATGCAATTTGTCTTAAAAAATCTTACAGCCCAAATCTGAGTGCTGAGTTCTGTAGGATACAGCAGACGACCTTAATCTGGCACAATGTATTCCTGGCAAAGCTGAATTTTCAGCATCATTACTCCAGTCTTCCATCTAATGATCATTTAGAAATCATAATACTATGGTGATTTGCTGCCCAAGAAACATTTCTAATTATTATCACCGTTGAAAACAGTGCTGCTTAACCTTGATACATTTAGGATTCTTTGTTTCTGGAAATTTACTTGAAATAGAAACCCTTATAATTTTGCAATTTTTCTTTTGCTGTCAGCGGTACTAACACTGCTTCGTTTTGTTTTTAAATATTTTGTCTCATGGCAGTTTCCTCTTTGTCTTTCTCTATCACTTACCATTTAAATGCGGAGATATAGTGAAAACAATGACACAACATTACTCAGAGTTACGTGTGTGAAAATCACTTAAATCAATACTTAATTTAATGCCAAGTCTCTATACAAATCCCACAATGGTCTGTAACTTTAGGCATTAAGCTTCTTTGAAACCAATTACTCATCAGATGAAGTAGACGGTAATGGTTTTGACACCTACCTGTGTGATAGCCTGGAGGAGTCTTCCATAGCTGTAGACAATCACGATAAAAGGGAGAATAAGGCAGAAGAAAAACAGACAGATAATGTAAGACACGTTGTTGGCCGTCCTGGCGGCCCAGTTGACACTGCACGTGGTGCCGGGACCCTCCGGACCGTAGCAGCTCCATCCAAACAGTGGAGGAAGAGTCCAAACCATGGAATATATCCAGGAGAAGGCAATACCCATGGCCACCTTTTTGTAATTGGTAGAGTCGGCCTGCGTGGCCCCCATCATGGTGCAGTAGCGCTCGTAAGAAAGCACCGCCAGCGAGATTAGAGACACGACGCCTGTACAAACAGAAGAGAGATACAGACAACACAACGTTCTGTTATGAGTAATAGCTTCGGTACTGGGTTGCTTACAGATCATTATTGCCTTTGAGGGTTTGTTTACATCAAGTAAAAGGCCAACATCTGCAGATTTATCGCATGCACTGCAAATATCAAGCTCAATAGTGTTGGTTTACCTTGCTTAATAGGAAAAATGAAAATTTAGATGCACTTTGCATCTGCACCGTAACAAAAACATTTTTCAAAGTTGTAAGAAAAATAGTTTATTAGATTGTTTTACAAGAAAGTACTATGTCAGTCTTATTAAATCGTGTTAATTTAATGTGTTAATTGTGTTTCTTTGTAATCATTTGAGAAATTTGACTAAAATTGTTTCAAAGTGTTACACTGTGGTTTCCTCAGGGACGGACTGAATACTCTGATTGGATACAAACTTTAATAATAGTACTCTGGAACAAACTGACAGGCAGGGAAAACACAAACGCAACGGAGATTGGACAAAGACTGAGGCTATACGTTTACATGTGGCTGGTAATTTTCATAAACGGACATTACACCACCAAATAACGTTGTGCACACCTGTCAGTTTTCAGAAAAGTGTTTGTTTACACAAACCCGTGTATGTGCCGTCAAGAGCATGCCAAACCTGTAGGTGGTAGTGTAACAAGAGGCTCAAGCCCACGTTAGCCAATCGGACGAATCGATTCGCAAGGTCGCACTTTTGAGGCAGATGCAATTTCTGTCGCATATACTGTGACGTCGGCTACCTCAAACCCGTTTTCTCAGAAAACAAAGTTTTCCAAAACCTCCACTCTGGCCGGAGTTTTTAGAAAGAATCGGTTTCAGAGGCGCATTCTCTGTTTGCGTGTAAACAAAGGACACAAATGAAGAGAAATATCTCCGTTTTTCAACATAACCATGTGCGTGTAAACAGGGCCTGAAGCAAAGGGTGCATCTGAAATAGCAAACAGAAACTAGATAATTAATCATACACAGCTGGGACAAATTAACTCATAATGATAGTAACCATAGAAACGAAGGAGTGGCAGGAAAAGAACAGATGAAAACAGGAACCAATCAAAACACAAACTGAAAGTCCAAACATGCACTGACATGTGACAAAGTAAATCTTTTTTTTCAGTGTACCTGTTTTGTATCTGTAGCTTTTTTTTTTTTAAATGTAATTTTAACAGTAAAAGACTGTAAAAAATAAATAAATAAATAAACTATGTTAAGTTCCCTTACTCTATTCAAGTGAAAAACTGCACTAGATCTAATGGCTTTTTTTCTTATAGTAAAATACTGTTAAATGTAGTATTTGAAAGTGAAAACAACGGCTCATCTTAAAACAGCATTGAAAAACCTTACACTGACATTGCCGAAGTTTCTTCTACTACTACAAAGTGTTATTCGTCTCATCTCATCGAGTTCCTCTTCAGAAAACCTGCTTTACTGGGGTTAAATGCTTTTTTTTTGGTAATTTATTGGTCGTTTACAGTCTTATAAGATCTGAACAAGGCAAACATCCTTATCAGTGCACCACACACATGCAGACAGCTTTCGGTGCATCTTGTAAGGGACACTTCTGTTCCATTGTGCACTCCTCCGTGTACTGTCATTTGAAACCAAAAAGCCCAGGTGGATCTTAAAATATCTCACATGAAACTGAAGGCAGCTATCATGTCACTGCCATTTTAACTGTGAAGACCAGGTGTTCACACTCATTTGAGCTGTGACTAACTGCAAGGTCTCTTGGTAATGCCCAACGGAGTGTGCATTCTCACGATCAGGCCAAATGTATAATAGTCCAAAGTAAAGGTTCCAAATGTGCCGGTCAGTAGTGGTAAGTAATGAAGTAAAAATACTTTGTTACTTTCCTTAAGTATTTTTTGGGGGATTTGTACTTTACTTGAGTATGTTTTATTTGCCTCTACTTTCACTCTTACTCTATATCAATATTAAAGATAAAGTTTACTTTTTATTCCGATACATTTCCCCATGCCCGGTCACATTTTTTTTTTTTTTTTTTTTTGCAGGATGATAGGGGAAGACTCATGAATATTCATTTGGAAACTCATTCCTGATTGGCTCGCCGTTCTGAATAACACTCCAACGTTACAATGAGATTTCATAAATCATAAGTTATGTCTGATCAAATATAAGAAGAAACCTTACCTTTGTGAATATGTATGTGTCTGTTGTCAGAACTTGTCACAAATGAGGCTGTCAGGCTGATTGTTTTCTCTATAATTTGCTGCGATGTGTTAACGGCGAGCCAATCAGGGATGAGTTCCCCAATGAATTGGGGAAAAAAAAAATTTCGCCCAGCCCAAGTATTTATTACACTGGCTTTCCAAACCAATGAAAAACTTGGTTTTCTTTTGAATCGTGAGTTGACGTTAAAGGGATACTCCACTTTTTTTGGAAATAGGCTCATTTTACCACTCCCCCAGAGTTAAACAGTTGGGTTTTACCGTTTTCAAATGTATTCAGTCGATTTTTTGATATTTAGAAGAATATCTGTAACCAGACACTTTCTGGTCTCATTGACTTTCATAGTATATTTTTTTTTCCTACTATGGAAGTCAATGAGACCAGATACTGTCTGGTTACTGATATTCTTCTAAATATCAAAAAAAATCGTCTGAATGGATTTGAAAATGGTAAAACTCAACTGTTTAACTCTGGGGAGTGGTAAAATGAGCTTATTTGCAAAAAAATTGGAGTATCCCGTTAAAGCAACAATAAAGAAGATTCTTTACATTGAAATAATGTTTCCAAAATCGTTTCAGTGGTTCATCAAGTCGTAACAGGGTGAAAGGAACTTTTGCCTTTGCTTTGTGGTCCTATATCTGCTATAACCACACTATGCAAGTTTGCCAGATGGGGTCGCGTTTCTGTAGTTTGAATGAGACATAAGAAAACTACAAATTTGACTTGCTTTACGGTAACCGTTACAATTGGACATCGTTCACTCTAAAGCCGGTGCTGGATAAACAGCTCTATGATAAACAGTGAGTGTGCGTGCAACAGTAGGCTGCGGAAGGCTAAATTATTTACGACAGCGGTAATGGACAATGCCGCTTTCAACCTGTAGGGCGACCGCAGAGGAAAAGTTATTTAGTGTTGCTTTAATGTTAGCCAAGCGATTTCATTATATCAAGCAGCTAGATAACAAATTCTTAATTGCAGTATCTAATCTTATCATTTGTTTAAATAAAACATTGCATATAACTCCCAAAACAATTGATTATATTATTCATTCAACTTAATTATTCATATTTACAGTTAATTTGAAGATTTAATTTTTACTTTCGGTACTTTTAAATTGGATACTTTTGTACTTTTACTCAAGCGATGTTTGAATGGAGGACTTTCCACTTTTACAGGAGTAATTTTTTATTTGGATTTATATACTTTTACTCGAGTCTCGAGTACTTTTACCACCCCTGGTGCCGGTACTTCGATACCAAGTTGATGCGACAAACAATAACAAAGCATTACTGCTTTAAGTACAGACTCAATTCAGTGCATTATGTAGGAACTACTGTAATTTGTAGCAAAAAACAGGATTATAATAACAAAGTGTCAGAAGTTGCAACCCTACCATATTCATTATTCAAATGTGTAGTCACATTAGGCTTAATAAAGCAAAGAAATAAAGACTCTACAATACTTTTTTTTTTAATCAGCCAAGTGGTCAATTTGTGCAGGCGTTTAGGTTTGTTGTTGTGTGAATTCGAAGAGTTCACCAAACTTTAAGCAGAAAAGACAAAACTTGCAATGTGCTGTTTCTGGTGTCTTGCATAAACTCTTTGGGAGATTATTTCTTGAAAATTATCTCTCAAAATCCTGCCTTTTTCATCCTAAGGAAAATTTCTTAGAAAGACCTTCACTCAAGAATTGTTCAAAGAGACCATTAGCTTGAATATTTCAACTATAAATATCTCGAGAACATTTTGAATGTTAATGGTCATATTTCCCTGCCTGCCTAAGTAAAGGCTGATATTTCTTAGCTTAATACAAGTATTAGAATTGTTAGTGTAATTTATTCAAGGTTGATAATCAGTGAAAGAAATCTATAGTCCACTGCTTACAATTAGCATCATTATGGCATTAGACATTGAGAACGAGAAAAGAAGCAACTTAAATCGTACATGCATGGAGGTTCCTGATGAAAGCTAATCAAGAAAGCAAGTAATAAGCCTGAAAGGCATTTGTCATCAGGCTTTCAAGGAGAGAACTGATTACAGAGATTTTCTCCATTAGAAGCACACATACACCATGTCCTAAACAGATGCGATGCCATAAGATCCCAGCACAAGAAAATGGAAGTAGGCTACATAATCAAGTTCACAAATATTACACCATTTAAACATTATTAAAAATACAGGCTACCGAGTTACTAAAACAGTCTGTCAAAGAATACACTTTTGTTCACAGTTTGAACGTTCTTGTTTCCAGTTGTTTAATTTCAAGATCAGAATTGTTGCTTTTACAGCTACTGTACAAAGCTGAGATCACTAAATGATATTCAAAGTCACATTACTTTTAGCATTAAATAAAGCACATACATAGTAGGCTACCTTAGATTATCATTGCCACACTTTGTGTTTGTTGTTCCAGCTGCGACGTCGTAGAAAAATAGAAACGTTTCTAAAATAGAATCGTCGCGAGTCGCCATCGCGGCTGGTTAGGACAAAAATTAACAAATCACGTCGTCACGTCGCTTGTGGTTAGGACTAGTTCTCCCTTAAGCACAGTTTTATCGAACTATGCCGATTCATTCTGCTTTGTTTAGCCAAGTTGCCAGACAGGTCATTTAAGTTTTGACAATTACAATGAATCAACAATATTCTTTACCAAGGTTGTACTTCTAGAGTTTATGAACACTGATGTAAAAATCTGTTGTCATATAATACACAACAATTCGATCTTAAGGGCTGCGTGAGAAAAGTGACACCTGTTAATTAACCACAAAACAGCTTTTCTACTGACTGGAAATACTAAACTCTTCTCTGCCCCATCAGAGCCTGTGTTATGGGTCAAGTACAGGACAGCACACATCTCATTTTTCCTGAAAACAGTTCTCCACACCTTCAGGTCAATTGCTAAACCCCAATTAGGAGAATCTGCCCTGGTGTGTTTATTCCAATTATGGAGACTTATGGGCCCTTTCAACACTAAAATGTTTTCATCATCTTTGTTTCCAATAATATGTCATTTATTGTGAGTTAATGAGTTTTCAACCCATTTAATAGTTCCAACTTCATTTTCTTCATCAGTAAATTAATTAAAAGTAGTTAAATAGTTCATTGAACTTATTACTGTGGACCACAGTAATAAGTTCAATGAACTATTTAACTATTTAACCAACAGTCTGTGGTAACTGTTGTAACTTAATTTTAGAGGGTTGAAATTTTTTAGTGTATTTTCGAGCATTTCTTTTTGGTGTAGACTCGACTTTTTGACTTTTCTTGTTCACATCCCTATACAAAAATTTAGGCTACAATGTCCCACCACGTTATCAGATCATGTACTTTGGAATAGCAGTGTATTGCAGTCAGGTATATTTCCAGAAACATGGTACTATTTACACTTTTGTCCATAACATATGTTCCATAAAGCAGATAAACAGTACAAGGAGTTTAATCTATCAACAAGAAAACATTCTTTTAAACTGATTGCCATCTATGGGCCGAGGGAAGTTATCCTGCTTTCCTATTATGTGTAAACATATATACAGTATGTTGGATGAAGAAGCTGATGTGATGTTTAGTCCTATGTTATACATCCATACGTTTTGGGATTTTGTGCTATAAAGAAAAAAAAAATATCAAGAAACCACAAAAAGTCATTGTCTTCAAAATCTTACAAAAATCTCAAAAGCTCACATGACTTCAGTCAATATTAGGTAGTTATGTTTTTCACTTTAGAATACTGATACAAATAATTAGTTCCTGTAGTAACATTTGAGTCATTACTAGTGGGTTATCATTATACCTTTTATGATAAATAATGCATTATTCATGTTATGAACCCATATAGGTAGGCTAGTTCTCTGGTAGCTATGAAAAATACTAGTTACTGACTAACTACCACGTTCAAGGAAAATATGTGCCAACAATCGATAGTTTACCACAACAGCAAACATTAAAATTGCAATTATTCATATTATTGCAACTTTTAGAATGGGAAATACTTAAGGAGGCTTCTGAAGCGAGACTCTTTACCTCAAGAGAAATAATGGAAAATAATTCTATTAAAACCATGGAAATTGCTTTTCAGATATAAAGGTTAGGAGGATTTTTCAAAGAAAATACGACTAGAATGCTGCTATAGCTATTGTCGGTTACTCAAACTTGAGTTCAGAACTGTTAGCATGAAGTATAAACATATACTACACACCCCTCTTTATTTCTCACACTGTTCTTTTACTGGTAGAAGTTTACGAAAGACATGATGTACGAATACTAGATTAGACATCGTAGCGAGGTTCCCGAAGTGTCCCAAAGGTAATGTGCTAAAACATTTCTGCAACGTTATGAAAATACGCATTTAGAATGTTAAAACATCGGTCGTATGAAGTATAGGCTATCAAATGGGATACACAAACGTTATCATTACACTTTCACGATAAAAAAAAACGCGTTTGTGGTTTGCGAGATTCCAAAGTACCAAACTATGGCAACTGCACGCGAATCCAACTTTAATCGTTAGACCTACCCAGACATGAGTTTATGAAGCCATACCACACGCATCCCGCGCGTCCGATGAGCCACCGTCCCTGCGTACTAGCGGCGAAGCTGAACGGAGTGCCGAGGACGCACACCAGCAGATCACTCACTGCGATGCTCACCAGAAGATAGTTCATTGGCGAGCGCAGCACTTTGTAGCGACAGAACAGAATGAGAACGAGCGTGTTGTTGAGAAACCCGAAAGTCCCGATGAATCCAAGGCACACCGCGACCACCAAGTGTCCCGTCGGGCTCAGACTGTGTTCTGAGTGATTCTCATCCAAATGCGCGCTGGTCCCGTCACCTCCTGCAGCGCACCACGCGCAACCCCGACTCATGTTGGACTCAATCATTGCACCATTAATTATGGCTTATGTAAAGGATTTAGTCAGTTTGGTTTTGAAACGAGAGTCTGTGCTTGGCAAAGTCGATGGAGGGTTTTCTAACCCATTGTTTCAGTGGGACTGGAGTTCACCAAACGCTAAATGCAGAAGTAGCACATTATTGCCACAGATAGAGGTTTCAAGATGTGGTCAAGCCAATTATGCCCCTCCTTGGGATGAATGGGAGTTTTTATTACCCCCCGCCTAGCTGACGTCTACGTCTCAAGCCACCGATCTTCATTTGCCAACATGCCTCATTAATTTTTTCACCCCATTCCTTATTCACCAAAATGCTAATTATAGTTAAGGGTGAAATAAACACAATAAAAGGTATGGTTTATATTATTTAACCTAAAAAAATGTTTAATAAAGTCAGGTTCATATTTATGACTTAAAACCAGACGCATCCTTTTTAGGTTACCTGCATGATATTGTTTTTACTGGAAACTTACATTATAAAATGGAGCAGGTGTACTAACAGATAATGCCAGTGTAAAGTCTGGTGAATGCTCACAAATTTCATAGTGAAAACACCATACAGATTCCTGAGAAAGTTCCTGCAGTTTTATGATTTATTCATTATTATGATTATTATTTTCATTTCATTTGTGATGTGACATTATAGATGTGGTTATGTAGTAAAATACAAATTAACTGCTTTTATTCAAGTTAAAAATATTAAATCTGCATGGATCAGATTTCACCATAAAAATTGACTTTTAAAAGTCAGAGAAAACAAAAACCTTTACTGTACTTTTTACCCATTTGTTTGTAAATAACAATAATATTAATTACATCCATTATAGTATAGCCTAATAAAAACAAGAGTTTTTAATTTTTTCCAACTCTGAAAGTGTGAAACTTAAAGGAGTATATAAACTTAGTGAAATGATGAATAACATGAAATATAAACTTATACTATGTGCAAACACTTATATCAATGATTGTATTAAGATTGTAATATTACATGTTATGTATGTACATATATTAAGTTATAATTTACTCAATTTATGTTGCATCATTTTTTTAACATACAAATTTAATTTCCAATATTCCAATTTTGTCTTTGCTGAACACTGACACCTGTGGGGGGAAAATATTTTAAAAATGAGATAAAAAATAAGATGAAAAATAATGAAGGTTCAATGAAGGGACAGATTTTGTGGTCAATAAAACTTCAGTGTTTCCAAAAATAAAACACACCCAGGCTTTTCCTCTAGAAATCTACCTGTCATCATTTGACTTATACATTAGTTCGGAAATACACATTGAAGAGTTCAATACAAAATTAATTCTCATTGTTCGTCTGCTTTGGTTGCCTGATCAATCATTTCCTTTCTAAGCACACCTACTCAATGAATTCTTTTTTACAGGGTTAGAGGTCAGGGAAAGCAATTTTCTCTCCCAATTTATCCATCTTCTTCCACAGGGGGAATCAGAGAATTTCTTCACAATCAGTTCTATTGATATGGGATTTCATTGTGTTTTTGTACCACTTGTGACGTCCAAATCTATCATGGATGTTGTCAAAGAAAAGTATAAGAACATCTAATTAGAGTGAACTGTGCAACACAAAATCTATTATATGTATCTTGTGTTATACCAAATGCAATTTGATGCATCTTTGAACCCATTTGAAGCTCAAAATTGAATCTTATTTGAGCAAAGTCAGGTTTCTAACCATCATTAAATTGCAATTTGTACAGTATAAAATCATTAATTCAATGAAAAGTCCCCATAAAACATGCAAGACAACGTGTATAAATCATCGGAAGATGGTCTTTAAAAATAAGATCCCCATAAACTCCATGGGCTCCAGGGAAACTTTACGAGCAAACTGTGCAATAAGATTCTAGGTTAGGTTAAAAGTTAAATCATGCATTATTCGGAAATAAAAAATAAGAGGGTCATGGGCATCACACTTTTGCTGATCAGCACTATGAAATGTCATGCACCATAATCTATCCTTCCCTCACAAAACTACAAAAAGGAAAAAGCCAGCACCCCTCAACGAACGGGACATTTCTGAGCCCTAAATTTTTCCTAATTAAACATTCTTTTATCTTCCTACAATGGAGCTAGATATTTGTAGTCTATCCCCTATCCTTAAAGGAGTAGTTCACTTAAAAAAAAAAAAAAAAAAAAAAAACTTCTGCTGATAATTTACTCACCCCCATGTCATCCAAAATATCCATGTCATTCTTTCTTCATCGAAAAGAAATTGAGGTTTTTGATGAAAACAATCTAGGATTTTCTCCGTATAATGGACTTTACTGAGCACCAAACGGTTCAAGGTCCAAAAGACAGTTTCAGTCCAAACTGCAAACTGTTCAAAGGGCTTTAAACGAGTCCAGGCGATGAATAAGGATCTTGTCAAGTGAAACGATCAGTCATAAAAAAAACAACAAAGTTCAAGTTTTATAAGCTCAAATGCTCACCTTGCTCTGTTCTGTGTGACTCTCCTGTTCGAACTCGCTCATCAAAATGAACAAATCTTTTTTCGAGTCATTTGGTTGATTCAACGAACGAAACGAACGAATTGACTCGGAAAAAGATTTGTTCATTTTGATGAACGAGTTCGAACAGGAGAGTCACACAGAACAGAGCAAGGTGAGCATTTTAGCTTTAATTTTTTTAAATGAGCGATCGTTTCGCTTGATAACTCGAATTGAAACTGTCTTTCGGACCTTTGGACCTCGTTTGGTGTCCAGTAAAGTGCATAATATGGAGAAAATCCTGGAATGTTTATCAAAAAAATTCATTTATTTTCGACCAAAGAAAGAAAGACATGGACATCTTAGATGACATGGGGGGGTGAATAAATTATCAGCAAAAGTTTTTTTTAAAGTGAACTACACCTTTAAACCTACCCATCACAGAAAACTTTCAGCATTTTTACATTTTCAAAATACATCATTTAGTATTTTTTCGCCTATACAGAAGAATTTGATTTCAGATGCAGGCATGCAGCCTTTGTCCCTTTAATAACTCTCAAAACACATATCAGTCAGCATTACCACTAAACATTTAAGCCTGATCAAGATCGAAAGGGCCAATGCACATCAGTTCAGCTGTACAAAGTGACTTTGAATTAACCAATGACATGGTAGGGGTGAAAAGTAGGGTACTCATTGATTTATAGGGTATGATTTCTTCTTTTGTCCGTACCCGTCATCTCTGAAAAGAAACAACAAATCTCCTTGCCAAACCATTTTTTTTCTAATAATGTTAGGATGGCAAGGCAACACCATTGCAAAATAAATCCATGTGTGATATCAGCTGGGAGGCTGCAGTTTATTGAATTTGCTCTGTGTGCAGTGCGCCGCTCAAGGTCGTAATTATCAAGTCTGAATAGTTCATATGGGTGGACATGAGGGAGGTGAAGAGGCCTCAAGATAGAATGGGATTTGTTTTATATGGTCTTGCTTAGCTTCGTCTCTCCCATGTTAACCCCAGAACATACATTCACTCAAACACAATCACCCACATTAGCTTTATAGATTCACTTTGATTGTATTTACCATCACACCATAGGTGTCCTAGACTTTCCTGGAGAAATCGAAAGCCTGCAATGAGTGTGAGACACAATAAAATAACATCCAACCACCTACAGACCGGGATGGACTGAGACTGAACTTGGGGATTGAGGCTGAAACTGAACCATAAGGTCTCATCACATATTGGTTAACGTCGTCCAATATTACAGATTTAGAAATTTGGACAATTAGACATTTCATTGTACATGCTCATTTTTGCCATCATCTAACATTGACTTAAAGTTCATCTTTAAAAAACATAATGAAGTAACGAAGGAATGATTCATGAAGTAATGATTCAAATCCATTTTTCATACAGCACATTTGAATTTTGTGATGCTTGAATTCACTTGTAGCATTTTAAATGGTTGATTAATACTTTCTTTGCCTCAAGATCACGAAGCCGCTTTGAAATACAGCACTGAATTTTTAAATCAGCGACTAGTATGGAACCTTATCAGGATCAGCCTGAATTTTAATATAAATAATTTTAAATATTTCCCAGTTCTATCAAAGTGGATCCTGGCCAGTGCAGTTTTTCCACAACCTTGAGAAGACTTGCTGCCAAAGGTCAGTGATACAGCCTAAACACCATCTTTCTAAACTGTGTTGTATGCCAATCATCCCATGGGTTTTTGCAACAAACCAACAAGCCACATCTCTCTTTTTTAAGTGCATCATATGTGTGAATAGTGACTGTCGCAACACATTTCCATCAACGATGCCTTATGTCTCCAGATGGTCTCTACTCTCTTTCAATAGTCCCACAGTGAATCGTGACAGGGTTACAAAGTACACTAAAACGTTCCTTTGCATGCACAGGCTCAGAATAACAGGGGTGGGGGGCTGCTTTGTTCAGGAAAGCAAGCCACCTTGAAGCACATCCACGAAAAGGGAGAAAAGAGTAAGATGGAAATGAGATTACCTGTAACAAATCAAACAGGAGTAGATGGGATTTCATTACATTATGGTTTCAACTAGATATCAAGCAAAAAAGAGAATTCAGCATAGCCATCAGTGTTGGCGATGATATCACCAGACTTATTCAGGATTGCACAACAGCCAAAAGCAATAAAGTTCAGTGAAGTCAGAGAAGCTCTGCAAACAAACACATGCACAAGGCTTTGATACAGTCAATAAATGATCTAAAGCTCTAGGGTTTCCAGTACGTTGAAGCTTTACTCTACGAGCTAAAACGGGTATTTTCAGACCAAGGATCTGTACACAAAAATGAAAAGGATGTGATTTACATTCTAAATACACTTTATGTTCTTGCTAATATTGTGAATAATTCATTGGCGCACATCTTTTATATATATCAACTTTCCTCGCCTCTGAAAACATCACCTCTAAAACGACATGCATTTTTGGATCACATCAAGCCCTTTAATTTTTGGCCGAACAGACAGAAGTAAAATGGGTCATGAGTGTGTTTCATGCTGACTTAAAGGCAGGGTAGGCAATTTATTTTTTAATAGAACGTTTTTTTTAAACTCTCTTCACATCCTGATAGCAATCAATTATAGAAGTGGTCTAAATATGAAAACATGTCCATAATGCATATCTTCTGTGGAAGTCTCAGAACCCAAAAATGTTCAATCGTTGCA